ATGTCTACTACACTCCATGCAAGCACATCTTTATGCCTTCTCAAACATTCCTCTAAATGCGTAGTAAATTCTTAATCCATATCAGTTCCCACGTTAGTTGTTTTCTTTGGATTTTTTGGATGAAGGAGCACAACTTTTGTGTAGTCAATGGGTTTTGCCCGTTGCTCCTCTAAACCTTCATGTGTGTCTATTGTATCAATAGTTAATGTTTTTCATCTCATAATGTTGCTTGTTACGGTAAAATCCCATAATTGAGAATTGGAACACAATTTTTGTCCTTCTAATTGTTCGAAGACTTATATTGTGCTAGTTTCTTGAACCTCTGCAAATCTTTCTTTTGCTACTCTAATACCTTTTCGCGTGGGAAATTTAACCATCATACAATGTGTGGAAACTACTGTTGATGTGCCAAAATGGATAGAGTCATCATCTATCCAAATGAGGTGGGACAGATCACCAAGGTCTACAAAGAAATTGACTAGAGTCGAAGGGTCGGTTAAGCGTGGGGAAGGTGTTAGGCACCCCAAAAACTTCGATATAAATATAGTTACCACATACTTTAATTTTGGGGTATTTTTCAATTTTTATAAAATAATAATTACCAAAGAAAATAAAATAAACAAAAAAAAACTTCAAAAAAAATCATTGTCCTGTTTTTTTGTTTTTATTTTTTCCTCATTTTTGTTCTCGGTTTCTTTTTTTTTTTTTAATTTCTGTTTCTTATCAATAATAATAACCAAAAAAAGAAGTTAAAAAAAAAAGGATATAGAAGTACAATCACCATTGTCTTCCTTTTTCTTGTTTTCGTTTTTTCGTTTCTATTTTTTTTTATTTTATTTTATGTACTCTTTCCTCTCTTTGGCTTTCTTTTCGTTTCTGTCTTTTTCTAATGCCTAAACCCACTACATATTTCCTAAGAGAGTTTCTTTTCTTGATTCTTTTTTTTTTTTCCTATCTAATGCATCTCAGATCCTAAAGATTAACGCAAAACTGACTAAAATAAAAAAAAATTCCGCAAGCGATTACTTTACATTACAGTCAACAAACTAATGTGAGGAAACAAGTGAAATCATGTTTGCAGCGAAGACAACCATTACCTTTTATTTCTCAATATCAATTGCAGATATGAAAGAAACAATTTAAAAGGGAAACCAAGCAATTACCAATAACAAAGAAAGGAAGAAGAAGGAAAGAATATGACAGAAGAACACTGAAAGAAAAAAAAAAAAAAAAAGAACAATGCACACCTGAAGACAATAGGAAAAATTTGACTTTATTTTCTTGAAGTTTTGGATACAAGTTCTTGTATTTCCCCTTTTTTTTGCTACTCTCTTTCTCCTTCTCAATCTCTCCAATTTTCCTTTGGAACTCGCCAATTCTCTTCCCCTCTCTCTCTTGATTTTACCTCCCAATTTTCGACCTTCCCTAAGCCGAAGGTGCCCCCCCTTTTACACAAAAATAGAGACAACTCCAATCTTTTTCTAATTCTAAATTCTAATTCCAATCTCCAAAATTACAGATAATAATCTAATCCTATTCGAAATTGGAATTCTAAAACTAATCTAGTCTTTTACACGCTTTCCCTCTTTCAAGACTAGATTCATACCTTTTAAAGATCAGGACTCCTCATTTGAATTGACTTTGAAAACTTCTTCTTCAGTTCTTGATAAGGACTTCAAATCCAAAAATCTCTTCTTGTATTGTCGTGATCTATCTAAACTTTGAATGAATTTAGAGATAGATCAAAAGAATTTGGGAGTTTTGGGAGAGTGACTGGCGGCAAAGCAAGAGGAAGCAAGAATTGTGAAAATTGAAGGCTAGGGTTCATCTAAACCCACCCCTTTTTTATTTTTTATCCCATTGGTCAAAATGATGTTGTTTTTCCATTTTCTCCTCTCAGCTCTTCAAGTTTCCAGCCTTTATAAAAATAGTCCATTGCCTTCTAATTTTATCATTTAGCCCCAATTAAAATTGGGTTATAACAGTTGCCCCCTCTTTCCTTTCTTTTGTAAAAGGAAAAGTAAAGAATAAAAGAATAACCCAATTTTAAGCTTTGAAAACAATGTATAAGTGAAAGTTGCAGTCTTCATCTTATCTTTTGCGAGATGCAGTCTTCATCTCTCCTTCTTCCTTAGGTGTGGTCTTCATCTAGGATGTGACTTCTAAGATGTAGTTTTTATCTTATCATTTGCGAGATGCGGTCTTCATCCCTCCTTCTTCCTTAGATGTGGTCTTCATCTAGGATGTGACTTCTAAGATGCGGTCTTCATCGAGGATGTGACTTCTAAGATGCGGTCTTCATCTTATCCTTTGCGAGATGCGGTCTTCATCTCTCCTTCTACCTTAGATGTAGTCTTCATCTAGGATGTGACTTCTAAGATGCAGTCTTCATCTTATCCTTTGCGAGATGCGGTCTTCATCTCTCCTTCTTCCTTAGATGTGGTCTTCATCTAGGATGTGACTTCTAAGATGCGGTCTTCAACTTATCATTTGTGAGATGAGGTCTTCATCTCTTCTTCTTCCTGAGATGTTGTCTTCATCTAGGATGTGACTTTTAAGATGCGGTCTTCATCTTATCTTTTGCGAGGTACAGTCTTCATCTCTCCTTCTTCCTTAGATGCGGTCTTCATCTAGGATGTGACTTCTAAGATATGGTCTTCATCTTATCTTTTGCAAGATGTGGTCTTCATCTCTCCTTCTTCCTTAGATGTGGTCTTCATCTAGGATGTGACTTCTAAGATGTGGTCTTCATCTTATCTTTTGCGAGTTATCTCTCCTTCTTCCTCAAATGCAGTCTTCATCTAAGATGTGACTTTTAAGATGTGATCTTCATCTTATCTTTTACGAGATGCGGTCTTCATCTCTCCTTTTCTGAGATGCGGTCTTCATCTCTCTTTCTTCCTTAGATGCAGTCTTCATCTAAGATGTGACTTTTAAGATGTGGTCTTCATCTTATCATTTGTGAGATGCTGTCTTCATCTCTTCTTCTTCCTGAGATATGGTCTTCATCTACGATGTGATTTTTTAAGACGCAACTTCATCTCTCTTTTCCCCCCCCCCC